GACTTCACATCGCACGTCCTGGGATGTGACTATTACTCATGCGCATATCACAACCTCGAAGCTGAAACAGTACATCGTGCAGCCCTAATTTCAGTCACAAACTTCTACAATAAAGTGTAGAAAAAACACACAATAGAAAAACAAAGTACACAGCTGTTCATCCTATTGACCAAAGAGAAGAAAAAAACAAAGGCAGCGGCTGGTAACCTGGTGGTTGCAAGCAGGTCCCAGAGGTGTTGCAGGATGGTGCTAAAAGAAGTTATTGAGTGCTAAAATAAGATGCTGTTCTGACACACACACACACATGTCCCCACAGCATCGGTGACAGAGGTACGTAACACAGAGCAGAAATAAGCAGCAAAACTTTGCATTTGAGGGGCTGTACCCAACAAACATGTGGCATATTTGCTTAAACAATCCATCAATAATCAACTAACTGTTAAATGGTTGGACCCTCAGTGCTACAACTTTTAATTAAAAGTCATTAGGAATGACTGAGGAGATGCAGAATCATATGTGGCAGCTGTTGCATCACAGTGCAGGCGTTCAGACCTTGCATACAACTTGGGGCAGCACCAGGGTAGGCCTTTCATGGCTAAGCCTCAAGATTACTGTCTTTGAACAAGATGAATTCAGTTGCCAGAATGCAGCGAGATACCGCCCCTGCTCTGCTCAGCTTCACTCTGTGGATTTGTGCCTTTGATGTGCTCAAATCCAGAACGGGGTTAAAAGTAGTCACAACCTTTGCTTCACCTTTTTTACATTCATCTGAATGTGACGCAGACTAAATGCTGAAAAAATGTCCAATTAGGGAGGCACATTTTTCATCATCTTCTTACCCGACAGTCGGCCGTGAACAGTCCATAATTAAACTAATAGAATACAGTAGACATTCTTTCATATGCTGAACAAGACATTTTTAACCATGAGCATGTAATATTTACTTGAAATCAGCTTAGTTACAATTGCTATGAGAGCTATAAGAAGACTGTCCTCATTGTTCTTTGCTTGTTTCTAATGCATGAGTGCTGGCAGAAAGTCATCAACCACCACAGGAGTGTCTGTCATGGTGACCGTTGCTAGCTAAAGCCCCACAATGCTTTCTGTTTGCCAACACAGAACTACCCATAATCCGAGCAACGGCCTTGTCAGGTCACTACAGTATTAGCCCTATTCAGGACTTTCATGTTGCCATACATAGAAGGTCTTTCGGGGTCCATTGGACCCCAAGAAAGAAGATGTGCAAAATATTTGTTGGTACTCATTGTAGACTTTTATATTATGTTAAATACATTTTCTGATAAGTTGACGTATTTTTGGTTCCAAATGCATGAGAAGTGTCCCTCTTTTTATATCCATCCATCCATTATCTATACACCGCTTAATCCTCACTAGGGTCATGGGGGGCTGGAGTCTATCCCAGCTGACTTAGGGTGAAGGCAGGGGACACCCTGGACAGGTCATCAGTCTATCACAGGGCTACACTTAGAGACAGACAACCAAGCACACTCACATTCACGCCTAGGGACAATTTAGAATCACCAATTAACCTCAACGTGTTTGGACTTATGGGAGGAAGCCGGAGAACCCTGAGAGAACCCACGCTGCACGGGGAGAACATGCAAACTCCACGCAGAAAGATCCCCGTGCCCCCACCGGCGACCTTGTTGCAAGGCTACAGTGCTACCAACTGCGCCACCTTGCAGCCCACTCTCTTTTTATATTTAAAAAAACACTTTTAAAAATACCTGTCACCTAAACCAAATGGCCTGGGGTCCAAAATACCCCAAAAGTCCTGAATAGAACTAAACACAGTAAATAAGCTGCAGCATTCCATCTCATTAAACAGCAAGAAGCACCACCTGGTGTTGCATCCGTGCACTGCAGCTAATATACAACACATTTTCTGACATGCATGTCATGTTTCCTGCATTACTGGTTGGTACATGTAAATGCAATTGTTGTTTCTTTGTTTGGTTTGTTGATGTTTTGAATATTTTGATTTGTTTTTGTGGCTTTTTTATGTTTCTCACATGTCCAAAATAAAAACATTCATGGTTAAATTATTATTGGCAATGAATCATTAACATCCCTGGTACCAGTTGTTTAAAAATTACACCCCAACAGTATCTGCAATAGCTGCTACATTGATGGTAACAACTAGAAGTCAGAAACAAGATGCAGCTCCTTGTGAATGTGAATCTAGAAGTGACATAGTGCCCTCTTCTGAACACTATGAGGGTCAAAGACGCAGATAAACTCAAGTAGGGCCAACATCCTCCCAAGAGGAATAATCCCTTTTCATAAACATGCAAAACTTGGCGAAATTACACCCATCCAAAAGCCATGAATACTGAAGACGGAGCATTTTGCAGACAGCCTGGGGTATAGCGGGGGGGCATCTCTCTTTCCATACCCCCATCTCCGTACCCCCCCTCAATGCCAGTGTGAATACCCGTGGCCCCCCATGTGGCTCGCATGCAGTGGTTCCCTAAGAGCGACTGGGAGAGGATGGGCTGAAGAAATTGTACTGCTCCTCACTGGTTTCAAGCCCGAGTTCCCCAGACTAGATTGGCAGAGTCCGGGGGTCTGAGCTGGGAAAGTAGATGAGTCAATAGGCAGTAATGAGATCTTATTTACCCAGCTGGTGAGGGAAAGCCTGGGACTGTTCTGAGGAAGCCCTCTTAACTCACCCAGATGGACCCCGAGGCCTACAGCCAAAACCACAACCTTGCCCCCCCTGTCCCTCCCCTGCTCCTCCCCGGAATAGTAGTCTGTGAAATTTAAAAGGCAATAACATTAGCAGACATGCTGCTGGTGTTCATTTGGGACGAACAGTGGTGAGAAAGAAACAACAAGGGAAAGAACACAGAAGAGCAAAAAAAAAACAAGCAAAAACACAGCTGGCCTTCTAAAGATGGAAGGACTGGGAATGAGTTAGGCATAAACAAATAAAAAAAATGACTTAAAAGTGTGCTGGCAGAGTGAGAAAGGGGCACAAATCCACATGAGAGGAGACAAGGGATGGGGAGAATGAAAGGGACAGAATGACTTACTATTTCTCCCAGGGAGGCGGCCACCATGTGAGTGACGGGTGCCATGCGTGGCGATGCGAGCGTTCCGCCGGCGCCGAGGAGGGACTTTGTGCAATCGTAGGTGACAAAGAAAGCAGCAGCTGAAACCAAGCAGAACCGCAGCCATTTAAGGCCCATTAGTCAACCAGCATAGAGCAATTAATATCCCTCACTACCACTGACAGGGGAGAAACTGAGGTGAGTGTGTGTGGATGCGTGTGTGCGTTAACAACACGTGTAAAAGCAAACAAAGTTAAATATATCTCATGTGGAAAGAGTTCTTTCTTCCTCCCACAAGTTAAATAAATTGATCTTCCAAGTGTCCAAAAGAAAAAGATTGGACTACATTTAAACCGACATCATACAGCTCGAGCGACTCATCTTTGTCAGTCTGGGTGACGTGCTCTTGTAAAGGGTTTGGGCTTAGTCATACTGACTCATTAATTCAAAAGATTTATCCAACTGTATCCAACTAAATGGTCTATTAATTATCAAATGCCAGTGGTTCCATTTCCGCTCTGCAGTACCCAACTGAAGTAGCCTCAAACCAAAGTGACTTTTCAAAAAATATTCTTGTATTTATTACTTCTTCCATTCAAACATCTGCTTGGAAACGTAGATGAAATGGGAGACAGACGTCGAAAAGTTTGTAAGAGTCGTGCATGAGCAAACAGAACAATTGAAAATGTATATTTCTGATTCAACACTGTGATGAAACTGTTTGTTTCCACCCTGCAGATGATCTGCTCCTTCTTCATAAGCTGACCATTACTAATACATCACCTGGCTGTGGAAAACAGTAAAGTAAAGCAGTAAGGCTCTGAAAGGATTCTGCAAAGGCAAGTCGTAAGGCTTATTTGTACAGAGTATTTCAACTACAAGGCAAATCCATTTGCTTTACGTAAAACATAAAAGGTGTGAAGAAAACAAACACGGTATATTAAAGAATATATATATATACAAAGCAATGTTGGTTAGGCAGCTGCATTTGAACCATTTAAAGACAAGCTTTAGAGCATCAACTGTTTTAAGGTTCTAAAATGTCAAAGCATAATTCTTCCTATAAAATAATAAAAATCACCAAAAAAATGGGCTTTGCAATTTTCTAAAACCCACAATGATGTCTTTAAATTGCTAACTTTGTCTGACAAACACTCTTGAATTTAAATATATTCAATTCACAATTACATAAAACAGCAGCAAACAATCACACCTAAGATGCTGTAGCAAGAGAAGGTTTGGCATTTTCTTCTTCTTTAGCTGCCAATTAATTTTTTGTTGATGAAGGAATCCTTTTTTTTTTTGACTAATTGTTTCTGCACTAAAGCAAACCTCAAACCTCACATTGCTTTCATAGTCGTAGCAAAGGCTTTACCCTGGCATGCCTTCAACGCAGGTCAAGTATGACATTTGTGATTGTCGACACAGCAGTCATAAGAGTTGTCTGCAGATCCTGTGATACAATTTGGAGGTTCTTTGTAGACTTTGCTCTTCAGTTGAATTTTCTGTAGCAACTAGTCCTGGAGAAAACAGCTGTCAATTTAAATCCCTGCCACTTGTAGATGATTTTCCACATGATTAATTTCAAATAGTAGAGATCTTTTTAAATCCCTTGCCATTCACAAACATATTTTTCTGAAGGCCTCAGGGAGCGCTTTAGATCTTGGCAGGATGACACCACACACTTCAACCCTGGATGTTAGAGGTTTAAAGGAGAGATGTTCCACCTCTCTCTTCCTGAGGAGGTTCTGATCTAATGGCATCTAATCTGGGACAACCAATTCCCTTCAGTCCATGTCACTGATCTGTTTTTTTCTTCTTCCTGTAATTATGAAAATGACTACAAGTTGTCAATTTTATGTGTCATTTGTTTGAATATACCCTCTTAATCTCTAGACACTGTTTCAAAGAGGATCAAGTGTTTGCTTGCTCTCATATGTAGAAAAAGGCAACAGTTTTCATGGGACTAGCTTCGTTTCACAGAATACAAGGTGATTGCTTAAATGCACAATCAAAAACCTAAATAAAGGGATAAAATGAATTAAGTTGTGAATTACCAAACCGATGTGTTCAACCCACAATCACAAATCAACAAAAGTCCACAACAATATAAACTGAACTCATTATCACTGTGCTGTGACTTCAGGGATAACAAGGAAACAAAATAAATTCATTTCAAATAGTCATTCTGTTGATATTATAATCAGCACAGCTTAGATCTTGACTAAATGAGAGCACTCAAAGATTGTTTAGTATGTACCTCCGAGTGACTGCCCATCACAAACAACTGTTACCGGTGAACCTAAATATCACAATCAATGTCTTACCATTGGGGAAGGAGCCAACAGCAGCAGATGGGACCCCGGCGTAGATGCCCCTAAAGCCTCCTGCCTTGTAGAAGCCCTGCTGACTCTGCAGTCTGGTCTTAATGGTGTCCAAGGGGAACAGGGTCAGATCAACACACATCCCCGCACAGCCTCCTGCCTGCAGAGACAGTCACTTTGTGATGTTCAAATATACACCCTATAACCTTAGTGGTGAAAAATGTATTCCCTTTCTTTTCCTTTGTGCTGCATCAACAGACACTAAGCAGTAAACATAATATCAATACACAACAATATCACCTTTCTATGTAGCCAACAGTTGAATATTTACAAACAAAAAAAGGCTAGTTTTGCCCTCTAAATTAAATCTAATATTCAACCTTCTCTTCTGCTTAGTTGTCTACCAACTCTTAAAGCAAAAACCAGACTATTTAGCAGCTCAATGCTCCACTGGTCTCACCAGCTAGTTACTAACTTCAAATATCTGCTGTTTGTTTTTAGGGAGGTAGCTACGGCAAGTAAAGTGTCAATACTACGAATATTATAATTATATAATATAAAGGAGCTTTGAATTACCAATAATAATTTAATAATCAATGAATAGTTTAGAATTAAAAGTTTTCTTCTTGTTTTTATTAAGTAAAACATAAGTAGAGGGATTAAGTAAAGCCGTTCTTCTAAATGTTGGTAAAAAAAAAAAACTACATCTATAACTACATGTGTATCTAAATTATATGATATAGTTGCTCAAAATGTGAGATATTACTTTACTCTTTGTAAAAATCTAATGTGTTTACTGTAGTCAAAATATTTTTATGCCACATAAAATGTTTTATTACAAAGATTTTTCCATTCAACAGGAACCTTTGCAGAAGCAACATTAGTGTGTTTATGGGTGCCTCCGTACAGAACAACACTCTAATCATTAAAGGAACCAATATATGTTCACAGGTCACCAAGTAGCAATAAAATAACTCTTTTATTTCGTTGTTGTAAGTTGCTGTAGTTAGTTAGATAAGCTATGATTAGACAATGGACAGATTTTTTTATTTTTTTGTTTGCAACAAAGAAAGCAGATATATTCTGATTATCAGCGGTACTGTGTTATGTGTTATCTCCTTTGTATTATACATTGTGTACATATTTATATTTCCAAGGCAAATCTTTATCTATGCTTCTAGCTGTAAATCAGAGACCAACTGCTGTTGCAGTAAATAGAAACTTACTTTGCTTTAAGAACAGTGTCTTACATTCTATATTCACTATACTCCGAAATAACTGAAAAATGATGTAATTATTAGGTTTCAATCTGGAGACTGCTGAACTGGGAAGAGTGCCGACCTCTGTGAAAACACGATTGAGAAGGACAACAAATTATGATTTGTCACTATAGAAGAAATCTATTCAGACCGCAGAAACAGTTTCTGCCTAGTTTAGTTTTGCAACTATTAGCTTCCTGTCTGCACTGTTCTCGTTTATCGAGTAAAAACACCCGTTAGTTTGGATTAAAAATGTTACAAACCGGTGCTGTAGGTTACACGAGTACTTAAAGTTTAGCGTTTTGATCAGTCTAATATATTTTGCAAGTAAATTTGTTTAAATCACAAAGAGCTGCGAAGGTGTCTATTTGTTGCAGGTACTTGAGAAGATGCTGAGTTATCTAAAGCTCCACATCGTAGAAAATGACCGTCTTACCACCAGGGACGCGACGAACTCTCGTCTCTCCATGTTCCGCTCTCAGATTTTCCTTGACAGTCGTGTAAGCCGGTAAATCTGCAACTGTTGTGCATGTCTGACACTTCAGTGAAACCAAAACATGCCTGTCAAGGACGCAGCCATCTTGGCTGAATTACTTCCGCGGTACGTCATGACGCAGACCAATCACGTGACGTGGAGTACAGGCGATTTGGGTTTTCTTCAATTTCAGCCTGATTTGACTTCATTGGGTTTTACCGGCACCAAGACTATTTGTGTCAACAAAGAAAAGAAATACTAAGAAGAATGTGGATTGTGTTTAAAAAAAAAAAAAAAAAAGGCATGAAGTTGTAAAGTTTGTCTTTCTGTGAGTTTAATTTAGCATCTGCAGATGGACTCATACTAGCAGTTCAGAAATGAGCTGAGAGGAATGAGTGAAAGGAATACAAAGGGGTTTTATACAGTCAAGGTCATTAGGACACAAGTTGCTTAGTGTCTCTAGCTGATAGCCTGAAGACTGTACAACCTCCAGGACCTCCAAACAGGCTCTTTGTTACCATATTTTCGCTCTGGCCTGGAGGTAGAGCAATAAGATGTATTTAGCAGGTCACAAACAAGTCAAACCCACGGCAGAATCACAGGGTTAATATGGTTCATATATGTTAAAGTTGGAAAAGGCCATACCATGTCTATTTCCTTTTAAATTACGTATGTTTTGAATATCAGTTAAAGAGAAGTATGCTTAAGTGATCAAATTTAGAAGCTAATTAAATCATAACAGTTTGCACTTTAGTTATTTTAAACTAAATGTAACATCTTGGAAGGAATCTTGCCTCATGAGTCATTTTGATCAATACAGAAACATTACTTGTGCATAAAATTCTGTTTATTTTTCAAATCTTGATGTTGTTTGATTATTAATGATTCTTACCAATTCATTTAGAACGAATAAACTGAGGAAAAAAGTTACAACTTTACTATAACTTTATTGTCACTGATATTTTAAAAATTCTTTACATGTCAAATTACCAATCAACAGGGATGTTTACCCTACAGTTGCTAAGAGTTTAAGCTGGTTAACTCGTGCTACAGAAAGCTAATAGAGCATAATGCTGTTTGTTTAAAATCTGAAGTCTGCTGGTGAGTTTTTTTTTTTTATAGGTAATTATGTCATTTAAGCACAACATGAGCATGACATTACATCTAGGCCATTGTTATCAGCCATGGTTGTGTTCAAATTCTCAACACAAGTCAAACGCATTTCCAGTGACTTACGGACTCCGTCAGGCTTGCACCTTGTCTCCAGTCCTGTTTGTGATATTCGTGGACGGAATCTCAAGGCACAGCCGGGGTGAGGAGGGCGTCCAATTTGGACACCTTTGATGACGTGGTTCTGTTGGTCTCATGAAGTCGTGGCCTAAGAGTCAACACCTCCAGATTTAAGGCCAAGGTTCCCTGCTGGAAACTGGTGGATTGTTCCCTTTGAGTTTGGGGTGAGTTCCTGTCCAAAGCAAAGGAGTTTAGGTATTGTGGGACCATGGCCACAAGTAACAGGAAAACGGAGTGTGAGATGGATAGATGGTACAGCAGCAGCAGCAATGTGAATGAAGAGGGAGCTGAGCCAGAAGGCAAAGCTCTCAATTTACCAGCTGATGTACGTTCCAACCTGCACCTATGTTCATGAGCTCTGGTTAGAGTAAAATTATAGTTGCAACCTTCCAAAATGAGTTTCCTCTGTAGGGTGTCTGGGCTTAGTTTTAGATATAGAATGAGGAGATCAGACATCTGGGGGGAGTTTGGAGTAGAGTCGTTGCTTCTTATTGTCGAAGGGAGCCAGGTGAGGTGGTTCAGGCGTCTGATTAGGATGCCTCCTGGGTGCCTTCCTTTGGGAAGAGACCCTGGGGTAGACCCCAGACTCGATGAAGAGATTGCATATCTCATTTGTCATGGGAACATCTTGGGATCCTCCAGGAGGAGCTGGAAAACATTGCTGGGGAGAGGAGCGTCTGAAATGGTTAGCCTTGTGCTGCCCTGACCTGACCCTGGATGAGCAGAAGAAAATGGATGGATGAATTTTGTATTATTGAGTTAACTCCCAAAATTACATGTAGCTACAGTTATCAAATAAATGTACTAGAGAAAAAAAGTACAATATTTGCTTCTGAATTGTAGTAGAGAAATTATATATACTAGTGGAAAATGGAAATAGTCAAGTAGAGCGCAAATAACTCAAACTGTAAAGTACAACACTTCCACTACTGCACTTTATTGTCGTACCCACACTTCCAAGGGTTTAAGAGGTGCAGCAAAATAAGTAAAGAAGTTAGACATGTCCTCACATTTGACCCCACTGTATGTCTGTCTGGATGGGCTGGGACTTATTTTGTGCTTAATTCAAAGTCCAAGTGCTTCCTCTAAAAATAAAATCCCCTCATCGTAAGTTTTCTCATCCTAATGAGATTCACAGGACTCACCTGAGGAGCACTGATGAAAAGAAAAGACATAACTTGGTCCTGAGCGCCTGATAACGCTCCTGTCTCATGACCAACGCCAGAGGACAGGACAGCTAATTTGATGTAACCTGTAAAGGTGTGCAAGTGCTTTTATTAGACCACCACAACGTATGAAAGAAGAAATAATAAAACATGTTCCTGTGACCTACCTTCACACACCTCTGTTGTCATTCCACAACTGTACTGGCCTTATATTCTTGCATCTCACCTCATCCCTCGTGATGCCTTTGAGTGAGTGTGCTCAGGTGAGTTTGTTCTTTTCCAGTGACGCGCCGACTGGGTTATTTATGGGCTGCTGTCAGCCAGGCAGCGTCTCCTATTAGGGAAGAGCAGGCGAGGGGCCACCACCTTTTTATTCAGCCCGGACCCAATGATGTCTGGGCTGAGTGCGCCCAGTTTGAAGCTCGGTGCCCGTCATCCATCTTGTTGAAGCGGGTCTCACAGGGATCCCGTTGGCTGTGAGCCCCAGCTGGATCTAGACTGGGCTGCTGTCTTGATCTGTATTAGGCCTGAGGACGGCAATAGCATCACTTACACTCTGCTTCTTGTGCTTTTATTGTCTCGCTGCTGTGCTTTATAAAGGCAGAGTTCAGGGGATGAGTGTGTGAACATTTCTTTGTTTGCTGTGGTTTCTGAAATTTGTGTTGTTTACTCTTTTTTTAGATATTCTCTGGAGATCAAATACAATAGTCATTCATTGTGCTGGTGATTTTACATTACAGCCCATCCCTGAGGCAGACTTAAGTTGTCCATCAGTGTAGTCAATACAGCGCATTAATTCTACGCCATACCTGAAATTGATTTTTTTTTTCCTTCGCATTGTTGTCGAGAAGTTTGCAGTGTCCAGAGTCCTGTCTGTTCCGTCATGTGAAGCCATTTATCATTCTGTCACAGCACGTCCTTGGATATTGGGATCTTTGTCATGTCTGCTGCGACTCCTGTTTGCCTTTAAATCTCAGTAGATTGTTACCAAACCTGAAGGTGGCGTTAACAATATAGACATGACTGACGTTTCTCAGTGAGACTTAAACACTTAGGATCAGTTTTTTTTTCTTTCTGAAACATTCTTATGGAGTTTATGTACGAAGAAAGTAGGTTGGCTGACTCTTGCTTCTGACCAGTTTATTTATTTCTTAGCTCAGGTGATGAAAATTTTTTTACCTTTTAACACTTGGAAGCTGCTCACCGGCTTCACCTCACGTGTTCCTGAATGGCTTCAACCAGATACACGTCTGGAGTGCAGCTTACAGTTTGAGGCCAAGAAGAAGTTGGTATTAAACCAGAAACGGCTCTACGCGGGCACGGTCCATGACTTTTTGATGAAAGCAGGTGAATTTATCCATAGAAGTGAACGCGAAAGCCAACTGAATGAGAGAAGGAGTGCTCAGTTACCCCTGTGTAAGGTCAATGAGAAGCACCCGGAGTCTGGGCAGATTTGCAGGGAGCACCATTGATCTTGACCCACTCAGAGTATGATCTCAGAGATAAAAGGGAGGAGACGAGAGGGGAACTTATTCCCTGTCAGCCACAAGTCAGCAAAGGGCAATTCTAGCCTGCAGGCTGTCTTTGAAAAACTGAAGGGCAAAAGCACGGAGGATTAAGCTACGAGGTGGGGAGGGAGAGAAAATGCAAGCAGCCATGAGGTTTATTGTAATAACACGGAGCCAACATCTATTGGTTTCGCTCCCCTTTAGAGGCATGTGTAGGTGACAGCCGGAATGAACTCGGAGTCAAAAGGTTACGCCACTTGCACAGGTGAGAGGGTGTTCAGAGTTCCACCTGAAGTTTTTATACACTTTCCCTGCCTGCTATGTGTGCGTGTGTGTGTTTTAAGACATGACAGATGATGCTTACATTTTAATTGTTTAAATTAATTTTCATTTTAAAGGCCAAGTTTTTCCTTTGGACACAGTTACAGACCAACAATTGTCATTGCTTTTTTTTTCTTGTGTGTAATTCCAGAAAGCGCCATCTGTAATGGTCATTATTTGTGAGCTGAGAGGAACACACATCTTGACTCTGACACGACGCTATTATTCATGAGACAGGGTGGTCGAGCGGTGCGGCAAACTTCAGCCTAAACATAGCTCCTGCTCATTAGCCGGTCTAACATTTGCATCATTAGGACACCACAACAGCAGGGGTAGAAGGAAATGCGACTAAGCACCTTTCATATAACTCTTTGTGTTTACCCTCAGGATGATAGGCTACACGAGTCTGTGACAGGGTGGGGTGGGTGTCGGGCGGTGATGCTCGAAACGAAGAGAGGAGGGAGGTGAGATAAAGGGAGCAAAGGAGAAGAGAAAGGTTAGAGAGAAAGCGGAGAATAAAAGAACATTCATTATAAATTCACTGAATCGACAAGCTGTCAGGCTGCACCGTCGTCCACGTTGCATCTAAGCCTCCGCTGCACTATTGACTCCTTCGTCACACACAAAACTTCTCTCTCCTTTTCTCACCTTCGGTTGCATCCGTATCACCTGTTTCTGCTATCTGTTCTCTGGATTGACCCCCCGAGAACCTTGCAAAGCCATGTCATCATCCCATCTTTCCCTTCCGATTTTCTCCCCCTCTTCGCTCCCTCATCCCTGCTGGGCCACCAGTGAAATATGAGCCG